GGCTTGTTGGGCAACCGCGGGGGGCGGGAGCCCCGAGGCCGGGCGAGGGGCGCACCTTGAGCCGGCCCGAGCTGCCCCGGTGCCGCTCCCTGGAGAGGGGCCTCCGCTCCGCTCCTGCGACGGGAGACAGAACAGCCTTTTGCACGTTTTTGCACGTTTTTGCACGTCCAGAGCCCGCACACAACCCCCGACGGAGAATAACCTGACAGATGGCTGCAGCACCAATCCCTTAATGAGCTTGTTACACCCCGGTGCTGGAAGAGCCGATTTAGGGGAAGGGGCCGGGCTGGTTCTGATGGAGAACCGACACGGGAGAGGAGGTGGATGGCGCCTTTCGCTGGGCATTCCGTAACGGCTTTTTCAATTTGCTTCTTCCATCGTATAATTGATTTTGTGTTGGAGCACAAAGCCGTGGGGAATACGAGTTAAGAGTTTTTTCCAGTGAAAACCTGACAAAAAGTGAACAAGGCTTTTTGTTGGAATATCAAAGCTTACTAAAATACCTCTGTGTGGAAAAGTATTATTATAGTTTTTGGATAAAGAAACTAGTCCTGTAACTTTTTAAAACATAATGCTTAAAATAACATAAAGGAAACCTTTGTAATGCAGAATGACCAGCCTGGTTTCAATAACATTCCAGCCTGGTTTCAGGAAAATTTACTTCTCTGACTTGTGCAAGCTTTAAAAATGTTTAAAGAACGTGCTTACCTGCACACAACTGCGAGATGCCAAACGCTGTTCCAACTAAGTGCTGCAGAATCCCTGTCATTTCACAATAAGTTATGGAAATGGGAATAAGCATTTATTCATGAGATATCAAATGACTTATTTTTAGAATGCTTCTGGAAATGGGAAGCAGAGAAAGTTCTGTTATGTTCTTGTTTTTAAATACAGGCTTTTTTATAGCTGCGATCAAGGAAAAATTACACTTTTTACAAAATAGTTAAAACTCTTCTTTTGGTAAGTCCTTTTGATCATATTTCCTGGAATAAATATTATACTGATTACAGGGACAAAGTTAGGAATTTTACATGCTTTAAATAGGACCCTTAGGAAATAAATTATTATGCAATAAGATTGTTCTGTGTAACTGTGCGTGAACATTTGTAGACAGGTATCTCTGGTGTTACCGTGTCATTCATTAGACTTAATTAGGACAAAGCAGTATTAAGAACCATGTTCCCCTTTCTCCTAACAGTCAGTAAACTTTACAAACATCTCTTCCAGGATGGTTTTGGTTTGAATCCAAATGCTGATGGAGAGCAGACCCCCTCTCCAAACAGAGACTGCGACAAGTGGCTAGACTTTTCCAAAATGTGCAATTCAAATCAAGAATATTACTTGAAGCTAGAAGAGTTGAAGAACGCCCACTTGGAGACCATGGCAAAACTAGAAAGTATGTATAGGAATAAACTCTATTTAAAAGGAGTATCACCCTTGGACAGGAAAAACGCTGCTTCTGACATGTGTTGTAGGTAAGTTTGGTGGTACCTTTTCTCTGAAGATTCTCAAATGCTTTGCAGACATCAGTAAAACAGCAGTTGTTTGTTGGGTTTTTTTCCTGGAGCTGGGAGGCGTTACTTCTCTTCATTTTCTATGAGCAGATAATCACAGAAAAGTTAGTTTTAATAACAAAAATGCTTATTCACCTTGCTAACGGACTGTGAGATTTACAAGTGTGTGTGCAGCAGAACTGGGCAAGGTGTTTAGTAAAGCACGGTGCCTTTGCTTAAGGAGTGCTGACTTGTTCACCATCAGCACTTACTTAAAACTATGTTCTGGTGTGAGTACCCAGTGTGCTTCTCTTCCCTTCACTTCCCCCTCTCTTCTTCCCCACCAGCACTGTTTATTTTTTTTTCTAATGATGGTACCTCACAGTGGAAGTTACTGGCTTTCTAGCAACATGGGACTGGACTCAAAACAACTTTTTTTTTTTTTCTTTTTTAAAGGCCAACCTGGGAGAAGAGCTCGTATCAGCCTCTAGATTTGCACAAATCTTTTTCAGACTCTGACTTAAGCGATCCCTTAGGTTCAGATCCCTTAGGCTCAAGTATATCTGATGGGTCTGACAGAGAATTAGCATTTGAAGAAAGCGACAGTGAAACTGGATCATCTGCCTTTGCTAAGGAACGGATTGAAAAAATGTGGGACGGGTTCTCTGTGGAAGACTACATCTCCCGCACCAAACACAGCCTCCCAAGCTCACCAGCCTTCAGAACAATACAGAAGAAACAGAAAGCATGGTCGCCGAAAGTTACTGTGCCCAAGCCTTTCCAGATGACTATTAGAGAAGCTAGAAAAAAAGAACAGAATGTCAAATCAAAGTCACAGATGGAAATGGAAAATAACTTACTGAAGAAGCAACTAGAGGAAGAAGCAGAGTGTCAGAAGAAATTCCGAGCCAATCCAGTGCCTGCTACTGTCTTCCTTCCGCTCTACCATGAAATCGTGCAACGAAACGAAGAACGCAGGAGGTCTGTCAAAGAGAGAAGCAAACTCAAGCTCTTGGCCTCTCAGAAGCCATTTAAATTCATTGAACGAGAGAAGCAAAGGAATGAAATTAGGAAAATGCAATTAAGAGACCTTTCTGCACCTGAAAAGAAAACAAAACTGTTCAGAGCAAAACCAGTTCCTAAATGTGTTTATAGTCCAGCTGTTAACGACAAGCTAAAGGAGGAAGAGCTCTTCAGAGAGATCAGGATCCGAATGAGAGCTGAAGAGTTGCTACGTAATTCATCTGTACCCACCAGCAGACTGGCTTTAAAAGATACCAATAAAAAGAAGAAACACAAGTGTGTTGAACCAAAGGAAACAGAACATAAACCCAAGATCAAATCAAACGTTCCAGATTTTGAGCTACTGCACCAGAAGTTTCAGAAACGACTCCTGCGACAGAAACAAGTGAAACACCTCACAGTCTGTGAACCTTTCGATCTTCGTACTCCATATATTCCCTCAAACAAGGGGAAGGTTTTGAAGGACATTCAAGAGGATGAAGAAAAGTTGAAAGAAACACGCTGGCCATATGCTTCTCCAAGACGGAAACCTCAAATGAGACATTCAAGTGCAAATGCACGTCTCTCAAGATTTGGAGAATCTAAATCACCGAAAGTCACACAATCCACCAGACGACGGCTACAAGCCATAAGGTGACTAATTTAGTGATGCTGTACATTTTATATCTACTATAAGAGTAGACTATTTGTGTATTTCTACATATGTAGTTAATTCTTCCATGCAGTGAAGAATTATAAATAAACCTTTATATTAATATATTATGAAATTTTAAATATAGGACTCGATTAGTATTTATAACTTAAAGAAACAGTAGTGCGTTTTTCTCAGAATGTCCATAAGAAAGGAACAAATGACTGCTGTTTCCCAGGATATGTCTGAATCCCTTAAAATGGCACATACCTTGTGTCCTCTTGTGCCAACCCTGGTTTTCTCTTTTGTATCTCCTTTGCCAAAGCTTTCTTTAAAGTCTTGCTCTTGATTTAAAATGAATTCAGCCTTAGTTTATTTCTCCACCCAGGAATTCACTTGAGGAAAAGAGAAAGCTGGAACAACAACAAAAAAGGAACAGAACAAAGCAGAAACAAAGAACGAAAAAACTCCAGAAAATTGTAACAGCTCGGGCTGAGGCCAATGACCCACATCAGAGCCTAGCTCAGGTGTCAAAATCCAAATTAAAAACATTCAGGTATTTTGTTGCATTCCCCTGAATCCTGAACCTCTCATTCTACATTGTATGGTAAACATACAATGTAAAAACCAGCATAGTCTAAGTTTACATGATTACGCATTTGATAAATTATACACTGTACAAGCAATTAGCAAAAAAAGTGGCCAGATTTAGTGTTTCAACTGGGAAATTGTTCTAATGATTTCGATCTATATGTTCCACCTTACAGCATTATAGATTAGCTAACAGGAGACTCCTGTGTTTTGTCAATTGACATATGAACTAAAGAGGAAAAGTTTAAAAAAAAAATCAAAAGGAAGAGTGTAGTTACAGAATATCCTTGCATTGCTGGATTGGTAGATGTTGGTACAACTTTGGGGCTAGCTGTCTCCTAAAGTAGTGGACATTTCACGATTCACTTCGTCCCAGCAGGTCCCCACTTAAGAGCGAAAATTAGAGCAGGAATACTATTTTAATTTAGCACACATATCAACACCTAACCAGGAATCTGCTGGCACTTAGGAGGAATGGGATCCAATAGTGGAGATACAAATTCAAAGACTGTTTATACATGACTGAGAAAAGAAAAGTAGCACACAGGGGAAAACAGCAGGGCCTTCTCCGTGTGCTGTAGGCTCGCAGTGCAGATGGCTCCAGCTCTCTGATGCTGATCTAACTCCAGAATTGCTGCTTGACTTTGTGGTTGTGGCTAATTTAACCATTTCTGCTTCCTAATCTTTTTAATCCTAGAAAAAAAAAAAAGGCCTTTTTGAATGAGTTTTTAGTGCGGTTTAAAACTGTTTTAGCATGATGGCACTGCAGCAGTATCGTCAGTTTAAGGTGCTTTTACGTGGAGATGGTGAGAGGTACTGAGTGTTCTGCCTTTGTTGCTTCATGCATAGGCAAGATTCTTGGGCAGTGACTATGAATCTTAATTTCCAGTAACCAGGCAAATTCCCAGTAACTGACAGTAGTAGGACAAAACAATGCAAGGGTGAATGATCATGAGATATGCCTGATTACAAGATTCATAGCTTTGACTAGCAACTTTTAAATTACCATACTAAACTTTAAGGTGTTTAGAATATGGGTCCAGGAGAGATCTTTCTGAGATGAGGGTGGAGGCTAGGGCTGTCTTTATGGTTGGGAGTTGAAAGGTAACAAATAAGGTTTCCTCAGTTTTTTTTTTATTTTTTGCTTTACACAGGCCTCTTCTTTCATTATAGCTAAAATAGAAAACTGAGGATTTATACTTACTAGCCTCAAACTCTGGGCTATTATAACCAAATTTACTGAAATAGTGCAGCACCATCTGTAAGACAATACTGCACATTGTTCCACCAGCAAACTTTGTAATGGTTATTCACCACAACGTTCCTGTGCTGTGACCAGAAAAAGAAGATGCAACAAAAACCAAAGCAGATGCATTCTCACATGCTGAAAAAGCACGACGTGCAGTGGCTCAGCAAATGTAAGCCAGAAGCAGCACTGCAACAAGGGTTTTGCTTGGCCACATGGGCAGTCAGTGACTATTCAGCATACACCATCTATGTCTACCTACCGCCTCCCCCAAAGACAGCTGAAGCCAAAGAGCACGCAGTAAGCAGTAGTGGTCTGGGATAAGCAGGGCTTATGTAGGATCCTGGAGAGCAGGGATGCATTGGTAGAGATGCAGGTCAAAGAGGACAATCCCTTCTAACTATTTTGTTAGAGTCAGAGCTCAAATGCAATTGCTTTTGCGACACAACCAACAGATACTGTTAATAGCAGGAGCTTTATAATGTAAGTGTCCTTGGGCAGATCATTTGCTGACTCTAGGATAGAAGGAGAAAGCAATTTGAGTTAAAGTAGCAGGGTGGAGAACTGGGAGAGACAGTGGGTAGGTTTACAGATTTGATTTGAGTTCATTCAGCAGCAAAGTTCACATTAAAGCATTTAGCTTAATCAGATTTCAGGAGCATTGTAAAACACTCATGCTTAATTCTTGTCTGCACATAAAATTATGCTATTAGAAAGCAAGATTACTTCCCCAGTGTTGATGCATTAAGGCTGGTACAAGTGCTTAACTTGATAATGCTTATTTCAGCACAGGCTGGGTAATAAGGTGTATTAATGTAAGTGCTCTTCTAACAGATAATTAGGTTTGTAGAAAGCTGCCCGAGAGAGCAAGCAGGTAGCAACAACAAAGTTCACTCCCTCAAAATGGCGAATAACTTGCCTTAATGCACAGAAATTGCAGAATTTCAGAGGATAAGGGAAGGAGGCAAGAGGAGACAGAAGTGTAAAATGCCCCCCAGCTCTCATACTTGCCCTTAGGTGTCTGACTAAGTGATGCTAGACCTGGCCCAGGACAGAGGCAACATCACAGAGAGGTGTCTCTGTCACACACTGAGGATTACAGCCCATGCCACCTGGATTATCTAGCGCTTGCTGTGATCTAGGCTATCGTTTCAGTTGATGAATCAGCTGTTTCATCATCCCACTGTATTGACTGGGCCCTTGACAAACAAACTAGGAAAAAAAGTGTACTGTGATCCAGAACTTGGCCACTCCTCTTGTAAGACAGACTGGTAAAGTAGCAAGATTCTTATCAAGCTTTTCCTTGGAAGTACTGATTTTTGTTTAATGGTACTAATTTCCTGTGGTGTATTCTGACTTCATCACAGTCATAGATTCATAGATTTCTAGGTTGGAAAAGAGATCATCAAGTCCAACCATCCCTAATCCCCATTAAACCATATCCTCAAGTAGATCATCCACCCTATTCTTAAACACATCCAGGGATGGGGACTCAACCACCTCCCTGGGCAGCCTATTCCAGTGGAGTCCTTTCAAACTGTTTCATTTTGCTTAGAACAACTGGAATAGCTATATGAAACCAGCATTTTAAAAAACCTGAAGTACCTAAACTTTGAAAAAAACCCTAAGTTTCAAACCCCTAATAATCCAAACTCACAGCCCTTTTTTAACCTCACTAGCTGGGACCTCTCTCTGCTTATCCAAAGTGACTACTTCAGAGACAGTTTTGTTCAGTACTCCAGGCAAGCAATTCCTGTGAAAAATGAGTCAATATACCTCAGACTATGTAACCACCATAAAATAATTTACCTTCTATGTGTCTTTAAGTAGGACAGTATTTAGTTTGTTGTGAGCAATTTGACTTTCAGCTGCTGTAGAAAATTACTTCTTGTATTATAAATTAATAATAATTTCTCATGTACTCTGTTTCCTTTAGGAATTATGAGAAGCAGAGAATGCAAGAATATTTGCAAGAGTTGCAAGAAATGGAAGAAAGAGTAAATCAAAGGCCACTGCTTTTGGAAAGAGTCACTCAGGTTGTCTTGCTACTGTACTGCTACTTAATCTTATCTTCAAATACTGCATAGGCATTTGTAGTTATAGTCAGACATTTTTAGAAGATATTTGAAGAATACTTTTGAAACCAGTATTTGTGCTGGCAGTGTGGTCCCTGACCTGTTTCCAAACTGACAGAGACAGCAAGTCCTGGATTGCTGGTTCCCTTTGTGCCTCCTGTCTCTGTGGGTTTCCTGGCCTGCCGTTGCTGTGGGGGCAGAGGGGTCAGAGCATCTGTGTGGACTGGAGGACAAGTCTTCCTCACTCAGATATTGCCTGAAGAAACAGAATTTCCAAGCTTGGTTTCAGAGGCAGAGATACACATCTATGTAATTTGTTAAATAGCACTCTAAGAAGGTGAAACAATACTGATTTTTTAGGGCAGCAGCTCCCAGAGAGGACAGAGAAGTAGAGGGGATAAAGGAGAAGCCCTAGGAAGATTGTAT